AGAAAACCCAGATCCTTGGTTATCAGAAAGTCCCAACTTTAATTGAATTGCCTTCCTCCATAATGAGAGGTTATGAATTTCTGCTAAGTTGAAATACACCAAGAAATTGATTAATAACCAGGAAAAACACAGTTTTTCAGGAGTCATCCTTGGAAGATCAAGGGAACCATTGGGGCAAAATGAGTAAATCAGGAGGAGACACGTATCAAAGCCCATATGGAGAATGTCTCTTCCTATACATAAACACGAGTTAATTGTACAGAAATATTTACTATACTAATTAATTAAGGATAGACATAGTTACATACCAGACACATAGAAGCCTGCTTAAAATCATCATAAGCTGGAAGTGATGCCTCATTATTTCTTTTCAGAAGGTCCAGCCGCAAACTTACATCTTCTTGCACTATGCAATTGTCATCAATATTTTGTATTTTAACTTCTGTGAGTAGACCCACCTAAGCTTGAGTTTCACAGTCATCAGCCCGCACAAATATAATGCCTGTGTACATGGCCGCAGGGAGTGTGTTGATAGACCATGGGGATGTTTCACAAACCTTAACACAGGATAGTTAGGGAAGGTGCATTATCCATGCATCTTTTGGAATACAGGACTTTTTAGAAAACTGCAAGCAAGGGCATATTTTCCAAGCTGACATATTCATACTTGAGCAAGAAGACTCCATTGCAATTGGCTGCAGAGTGTAAATTATGTTCCCAAATATTTTGTAGTTTTATGTTTGCCATCTAAAGAGCAATGTAATATCTTGAGGTACTTCCCTGTTCACTTCTTGGTCCTTCTTCCTCTCCAAGAGCATGTGTTCCTTCCATTCCCTAATTTCTTATATACCAGCCTTGGAGTTCTTGGCTCTGAAGAAAAGAACCAAACACATCTTCCATTATTCATTTCTTCTTTCTGCTAATTATGTCCATTTTTTTGTCATCCTCTTAAGGATACCCCTGCTGAGGGTACTGATAAACAAGCCATACAGACACAGTTAAAGGTTTAGCAGAAGAGATATATGAGATGAGAAGATATTTTTAAGAGTGTGAAATGTGCCAGACTGTTGTAAGGCTGTTTGCTTCAGGGCAGTTCAGCATGATGAGTATGTGGAAGTATATGACAAGTGATTGTGGATTGTCAGATGCCTTGAGTAATAAGGATACAGTACAATAAATATTGCTAAATTTATTATAGGCAAGGTTAATCTGGCTGAAATATTTTTCATAAAGAGTGAAAAAGGCCCAGAGAGGGCAATGCCTTGAGAGGCCTCAAGAGTACCCAGGCCTACATACGTCATCAGCTTATCACAGTGAGGGTGTCAGGGAGCTCACTGCAGAGTGGTGCTGGAAGATACCTTACCAAAGCAGGAGAAACAAGGTGACTCCACCGCCCCCAGAAATAGATGCACTGTTTAAAGAACACCTGCTTGAAAATTTTACCAAGATTATGCCAGAAGACTGCCACACAAAATCTTGTCCTCCAAGCAGTGAGATATATTACCACTGTCTACTTTCGCAAACCAATACAAAGACAAGCTCCCCAGAACCAGCATCAAACTATCTCAACCTCTTTCTACTTCTGCGTTCAAGCACAGCATGCAAATAATTGTCTTGGACTTGGATTCTTAAATTAGAAAACTAAAGTGCTGTGGTTACATCAGGGCTGTCCAAATGACAGCCTAAAGGCCACGTGCAGCTCTGTGGAGTTAAAATGGCTCTTGGTCTGGGCACTGCCCCTCTCTTTGCTCTTTTGCTGTTGCCACCAGGGTCCCCAGGCTTCCTATCTCCCTCCTCTAGCTTCTGCTGCCGACCCCCACCCCTGGAGATGGAGCAGGAAAGGAGCCCATGGTCAGAGGGGTTGGAGAGACCCAGGGAACCTGATCAGCATTTGCACTGGTGCAGTACAGAGGGGGTCACCCGCTGCTTGACAGGCATGGGCCACATGGCAGGATTGCATGTATGTCATATCTGCTAGCACAGTGAGCCTGCATGATGCAGCATGTCTGTACAGCATGGTGCAGCTGAGAACCTTGTGCCATATATATGTGGACTGCAGGCCATGTGCTGCTTGGGGTCGGGCAGGGATATGCAGTGTGGCATGCAGCTCATGCAATATAAAGCCTAAGGCGGCATGACCCATGATGTATGACTTGGGGGGCAGGGGGAGCTGTGGCCTCCAGCCACTCAGAACTTGGATAGCCATGACTTGCATTATAAATATACAGGTTTCCCTCACTTTATGCAGGTTCTGTACATGTGGATTCACTCTTATGCGATGACCCTTTTTATACCAAAAATTAATTATATGCAAGGTAAATTCACTCTTATGTGATCAGTGTGGTGGAAGCCCGCAGTCAGCTGCTTTGTGCGGTGTGTTACGGGAGTGACGTGCACCAAAATATAGTCTCCTATGTGGATCTGTGCTCCTTGCTATTCATCTGTGACATGCATTTCTGTAGTTGTCATCCCCATTATGATAGTGCCCTGTGCTTGTGTATACTGCCTGCTGTTGGTGAATTGTCTTGTAAAAGTGGTAAAAATAGGTCTGGGGGTCAGTACAGTCGAGGTCTTGGACCATATCCCTATTTGTTACACTGTAAAGTGGGTTCCCTTTATGTGAATTCGAGTTATGCACCATTTTCCAGAAATTCATGTACAGCATAAAGCAGGGCAAACCTGAACAGGGCTTTTTCACACAAAACATCCAAATGATCAGTTATTGGAAGGCTTGCAAGGATTATTTTAAATTTTGTTTTATTGGAAAGGCAATGTATTGGTCACGGTTTATTTTTCCATTTGTAACACAGAATTTCTAGCAAAAAAGTCAGTATCTGCTGGCACTGCCAGAAACATGCATTTGGGTGTTTTGGTTGCTTATTTTATTGTTTTGATTGCTTACTTTATTCTTAAAGAGATTTTTCCAGAACCACTCATCCTAGCTTTTAAACAAGCACTGAACCTTGCTAAGCGCATCATCATCAGAAGCAAACTCACACCGAATGGATCCAGACCATGCCAGGACAAGAAATGCAAAACCTGCCAACACATCACCACCCCCACAATTACTACACCCCACAACAGAACCATCACCATTCCTGAGTCCTATACCTGCACCTCCAGAAATATTATATAGCTCATCCAGTGCATCAAATGCTGTGATGGAAAATATGGAAAATATGTAGGAGAAACCAAACAACAACTGTGCACCGGAATGAATGCACACTGGAAATATATCAAAGACAAGAATACCCAACTACCTGTGGGGACACATTTCTCACAGGACAATCACTCGCTCCCCCAGTTGTAATCTTCAAAGGTAACTTACAACACACCTTTTGTAGATGAGCCTATGAACTTCAGTTCATCAACCTACTGGATACTAAAAATCACGGACTCAATATAGACATTGGATTTATGACACATTATAACCTCCCTGACATTTGAGTCATATGGTACCTACCTGACCCGACCTCTCACATTCCCTGCCCTTTTTCTTCCTGGTTCCCTACTTTTTCCTTTTTGTTGCTAGCCTCTTTTTTACCTTGTATTATTACTTCTGTAGTGTTTTCCCTTTGGCCTTTCCCCCCGCCTGTTTTCTTCCCCCTCCCTTCCCTGCTTTACCTTTTGTTTTCCTACGTCTACCTTTTTAGATTTTCACTGACATCCTGTCACACTTTTAGCTTTCCCCATTCCTGCTTTCCTCATCTCCAACTATTCCCTTTTTCACAGACTGCCTCTTCTTCACCTTGTATTTTATCTGTTGTCACCCTTTGACTTTCCCCCCCACTCTCTTCCCCCTCCCTACTTTTCCTTTTGTCTTGCTTATCTCTACCTATTTATATTTTCACTGACATCCTGTCACACTTTTAGCTTTCCCCATTCCTGCTTTCCTGATCTCCAACTATTCCCTTTTTCACAGACTGCCTCTTCTTCACCTTGTATTTTATCTGTTGTCACCCTTTGACTTTCCCCCCCGCTCTCTTCCCCCTCCCTACTTTTCCTTTTGTCTTGCTTATCTCTACCTATTTATATTTTCACTGACATCCCTCTGCACTTTTAGCTTCTCTCATTCCTTGGAGGTCTCAGAACAGCAGAGACTTCCTATGCCTGAGGAAGAGTGACTTGCTAAGAACTTTTGTCCAAGTACCCAGTTGGTCTAATAAAAGATATCACATCTACCCAAAGAACTGCCTTGGCTGCTTGTAGGATTTTGCTCCTCTTCTGTGCCTATGCCTGCCAGCACACATGGTTAAAATAAGCCTGCCATTTCCAAAGACAGGTCCTTTGTTCTCTGCCTGCAAGAGTTCAGCTAGCATCTTGAGGAGATGAGGCCTGGTGGGTGGATGGATGGAGAGAAGGAGAAGGTAGGAAGGACAAGTGTTGGACTCCATGAAGGATGTAAAAAAAAGAAGACAAAGAAGAAGAGGAAGTAGGTACTACACAGGTGAGCTTCCTTTTCACACTCTTGCTGTGGGTTCTCTCTCCTGCCTCCTCCTGGCCAAATTTCCCTTGGTCTTGAAGAGCTCTGGGGTCTCCAAGGGACCTGCACTCCATCTCAATGAGTTTAGGGTCAGGGTGTACTACTGTGGCTCCTGCCTATGTGCTGCAAGGTGTCACTAACAAACACGAAGCCCACACCCATGGCTGGATCTAAGAGGGGGAAAAGGAGGTACAGGAGATGCCACCAGTGTCCTAGCTGCCAGGGGCTTCTTCGAGTCTCCAAAGCAGGTGGGAGTCTCCCTCTGCCCCCGCACTGCGCCGCTGCTCCCTCCCCTCTAGCGCAGGCCCGTCCCCTCCCGCAGCAGGGCTGCCTCTGAGTGCGGGCAAGGGCCTTTGCGGAAAGTCCCGGGTGCCTTGGCTCTTCGCTCCGCACCTGCTGGACCAGCTCGCACGGGGCGGCCCCACTGCGCTCATGCGGCGAGGGGGCGGGGCCGCGAACAGCTACAAAGGGGCGGCCGGCGCGGCGGGCGGCATGTGGCGTGGTGGACTGAGCTGAGCTGAGCTGAGCTGAGCGGTGAGGTGAGGTGAGGTGAGTGGCGGGCCGCGGACGCCGTAGTGCGGGGACGGCTCGGGCTCAGCCTGCGGCGTCCGGTTCGGCCGGGAAGCTGTGCAGTCCTCTCCTCGGACCTGTCGCCGGCGCCTCGAGCACGCGCGCTGCGGAGCCCCGGGCCCGGTCCGGCGGCAGCATGAAGCTGAGCAGGGGGCGCCCCCTGGGCCCGTCGTGCCGCCCGGCCTCCGGGGCGGCGTCGTGGGGAAGATGAGCGCGGGGTTCGGCCGCTTGTAGCCGCCTCCGTGGCCCGGGCCGAGAGCCGGGAAGGAGAGCGCAGCGCGGGCTGGCGGCGGGGCAGGTCCTTCCAGGAGCTGCGCGAGGACGAAAGCCCGTGCACTGAGCGGCTGGGTTGCCTCCTTATGCCTCTAGGTTGAGCTTCCCTGGGCAGTGTCTGCTGCATCCTTGGACTTGTTCAAGGGTTGGTATGCTCTGCTCTGTGTCTCCTGCAGATCGTTTATTGTGAACCTCTGACTTCACTCCCTTCCCTGTTTTTGTTTTTAGTTTGTCCCAAGGAATTAGTTGTTACTTTCTTGGTGGCCTGCCTTTTTAAGGGAGGCTTATAGCGTTTCTTGGTGGGCACTGGCTCACGATCCCTCGAACATAACAAATAGGTCTGTGCCAAACCTGTTAGAAACCTGCTAGCTGAAGTTAGTAGATGGTGGTTGGTGCCTTTGTGATGGGTCTGCTCTTCACATAGGCATTTGGGAAGTTTTCTTTATATTTTTTTAAGGGAGGAGGACTTGAATGAATCTCCACGCCTAGCTTTTAAGTTTGGCACAGAGTACCTTCTGTATGTCTAAAACTCCCTCTGGAGAAAGTGACAGTGCCATCATCCCTTTTCTGCAGAAGCAGCTGACAACAGGAGAAACGGCACAAAGACAAAATGGAGTTAAAATTCTTTTGCCAGACTGATGTGTTAAATGCACTAGTTTGAGTCTGTGGGTTTTCTCCTTGCTTGGCCTGATGTTGGGAAAGGGTGGAACAGGAGTCATTTCAGATCCTACACAATTAGGGTTGGAAGAGACCACAAAGTACCTAAATAGTTTCATAGTTTCTAGGGTTGGACGGGACCTGAGCAGATCATCTAGTCCGACCCCCTGCCATGGCAGGAAGAGCACTGGGGTCAAATGACCCCAGTAAGGTGGTCATCCAACCTCCTCTTAAAAACCCCCAGGGTGGGAGCCTGCACCACCTCACTTGGAAGCTGGTTCCAGACCCTAGCTGCCCTGACCGTGAAGTAGCGCCTCCTGATGTCCAACTTAAACCTTCCCTCCACCAGCTTGTGACCATTGTTCCTGGTCACTCCTTGCGGCGCTCGGGGGAACAGGGACTCCCCCAGCGCCTGCTGATCCCCCCTAACCAGTTTATAACAGGCCACAAGATCCCCCCTCAGCCTTCTCTTTTGAAGGCTGAACAGGTTCAGGTCCCGCAACCTTTCCTCATAGGACCTACCCTGCTGTCCCTTGATCATACGAGTGGCCCTCCTCTGGACCCTCTCCATGCTGTCCACATCCCTCTTAAAGTGCGGCGCCCAGAACTGGACGCAGTACTCCAGCTGCGGCCTGACCAGTGCCGCATAGAGGGGGAGGATCACCTCCTTGGACCTGCTCGAGATGCATCTGTGGATGCACGACAAGGTGCAGTTGGCCTTCCTAACCGCCTCCCTACATTGCCAACTCATGTTCATCTTGGAGTCAATAATGACTCCCAGATCTTTTTCCACCTCCGTGCTGACAAGAGGGGAGTTCCCCAGCCTGTATGTATGGTGCTGGTTGTTCCTCCCCAGGTGCATCACCTTACACTTGTCCGTGTTAAACCCCATCCTGTTCTCCTCTGCCCATCCTTGTAACCTGTCTAGGTCCAACTGTAGCCTGTTCTCCCCTCTATTGTGCCCACATCCCCCCACATCTTAGTGTCATCAGCAAACTTGATGCCTCGGGACTGTGCAACACCTGGCCTGTAAGTCTTTGATACCATTATTTCAGAGTCACTTGGATCTGAGAAGTGCTAAGCATTTGGTCTTAATTATTGGTATCAAACAGCATTCAATCACTAATGGAAAGCCATTAAGTGGTTAGCCAGCAACCACAATAGACAAACCTGTGTGGCTCTAGGTACCCGTCTTTCCTTTCCTTTCAGTTGCATGCTTGCACCATTCCCATTGAAGTCTATAGTGGGGAGGTACCTCATGATGCCTTCAATGGACCTCCAAGTACTTCCACATGCCCTTAAGATTGAAATGCAATGTGTGGGGTGGATGTTGCCTCCTTCCTACAGGTGAGGAGTGACATGGGTCCAATGACTTGCTCACTGCCTCTGAGGCTGTGGAGGAATGGATTTAGAAGAGGGGTGGCAAAATATGGCCCACAGGTCAGATCTAGCATGCTAGGTAACTTCATCCAGCTCACAGGAAGGCACCCACCAATGAATTGCATCTGCCCAGCCTGTGGTTCCCCCTGCTCTGCTGGAGCACAGTGTACTGAGCTTCTGCTTTTGCTGGCAGGAGGCCCTTGGCTCCAGCCAGTGCTCGCAGCTTCCAGGCAGGGCTGCTGCAGCTGCCTGAGGAACTGCTTGGCTCTCCTGGCCATCAGCAGCATCTCCTGTTGCTGCTGCAGTGTTCTGGGCAGCAGGTAGGGAAGTGATGGTGGGTAGGAGGGGCAGCTGGGTATGAGTCCAGAGCACTGGGCCAGGGCTGGCAGGAGTCCAGAGTGTGGGGACTGCACTGGACAGGGTGGTGGAAATGCAGAGCCTGGGTCTATGGGAATGGGGGGTTGGCCTGGTTCCATTGCACAGGGCTCCCCATGACTTGCATGCAGCTCATGGGACTTGTGCACTGGTGGGGAGAGCCCTGTGGTGACCTTCCCCACTCCCTGCCACCATGTACAGCTCTCTGGACTCCTCTGGGAGTGGTGGGGAGCCCTGTGCAGTCAAGCCAGGTGAGCTCTACCCTGTTCCCGGCTGAGTCCTAAGAGTTGCACCTGGCAGCAGGGAGTAGGCCAGGCCACTGACTCCATCACATGGTCAGAGCCACTGTGCACCGCTGAGGGGAGCCCCAAGTCCTGGGAGCTGCGCCTGAGCCATGGGAAGCCCTGCATGATGGAACCTGGGTGCACCCCCTGCATACCCTTCCCCTATGCTCTCTCCCCTACTCCCAACAGTGCACCACATGTGCGCATGCATACACACCCCCAACCATTCCCCCTACATATGATATACAAGAGTAAGACTTTTATTTTGAGCTATTATGCAATCACCTGTATATACACTACACAAACATATAAATCAGATCAAATATTTTTTTTTTAAACTAAAATTCAAATATGTTATAGTAGACGTTTGATTTTTAGTATACATTTTGATTGGGTTTTTTTTCTGGTTCCATGATGACCCCCTCCCTCCCCTAAAGGAGTAATTCTGAGGGCAAGGGGAGGGACTTCTGGTGGCAAAGTTTGGGGTTAGTGGTAGGACTTCAAGTCCCAAGATTGGTTACCAAGGTGTGGGGTATCTGTCAAGTGGCAGGGCTACCTTTGTGGCCCTCAACAGATGATCAAAACTCATTAAGCTAAACTAACTCATTAACCCCTGATCTAGAACCTGATTTCCTTCAGCAAGACACAGATGTGGCATTCCATCTGTTGTATTGATGCAAAAGTGGCTGTTTGTCAGAATGGTACAAGATTAAGGGACTCTGAAAAACATTCTCTATAAGCAAGATGGTGCTAAAACTTCTCTGCAATGGCAAGTGCATCTTGGTGCAGTACTCCAAGATGCAGCAAGTAAACAGTCTTGGGACTAGCTCCTCAAGTCACGGTAGAAAGAGCCTTGTTGCAGTAGTAATTTAGGATACCCATTCTCTTGCTCCCAATCCCCCATACATTTGCCTGTTTTAAATGTTCTCCAGGGATCTCTAATTCTAACTGACCTTACACTGGTTACCATCAGCTGAACTTTAACACGATGATTAAGAGACTCAAAGGTCCCAATCTGTTTCTCAGTCTTTATAGAGTCAAAGCACACTTTGGAAAGTGCCAACTCATAGCTTTCACCCTTTTGCCTGCTGAAAAATAATATAACAATTTTTTGGTTACAAAGACAGAAACTATGGATTTCTATTTGAAATCTCTGTGTTTATCATGTGTATCATGCTGGTAAACCTAACAGTGCTAATACTTGTGTGGCACCTTGCAGCACCCTCAGAAGGATCTTAACACACCTCAAGGTTCTGTGGTTGAGAATTGCTGGTCTAAGCAGTATATTGGATGTCCTATGTTAACCTACTGAGGTTTGTGTAACACCACTCTTTCACCCTTAATCTGATTTAAGATTGGGCTAGATATTTAACAAGCTTTGGCAGTCTTTCTTCTGCAAGTGAGCAAAAAGCCAGGGCAAACTTAAATATTTGAAAGAGGGTAGCATTAGATTATATAATCATAATTGATTCCTTTCCAAGAGATTAGGGTGAGTATGGAATAGCTCTAGCTTTTTTTTCTCACTTGATCCAAGAAGCAACTATATTCAGGGTACTGAAGTGCCTTAACATTTTCAGAAGAGTAGAAAGAACTCAGTACTTAACTAGTGAGTGTGACTGACCTGCAGGATGAGCAAGCCATCACAAAAAGGAAGACGTCTGGAGGTACTGGCAAAGAGGGATTTACATTTTTCAGGGGGTTGGAGTTCTTTTAAGGTCTGGGAATATGCAGTTACAGTATATGTACAGCAGTGATATGGACTTTTTTCAGTATCATGTCAGTTGATGAATCTGATATAAAACTATAGTTTTCAAAATACTTGTCACTTAAAATTCCCATTGATTTCAGCTGGCACTATACATGTTCAGCACTTCTGAAATTCAGTCACTTTTTAGTTTATAATCTTTCCTCCATGACTTGCCCTCTGAATCAGCATCCTATACGTAGTAACCTACTGAAATTGTGATTTTTGTGAAATCTGCAAAATCTGTGGGGGGAAGAGAATTTAAGGAAAATAAAAAGCTGGATGCTTGGAGGGAGCCAGCAGTCTTTAGGGCACTGCTGCAATCTGCTGGGCAGGGAAGGGAGGAGGTCGTGGTTCTGCCCCTTGCCACCAATTGGTAGCAAGGGGCAGGGCTGCATGTTGGACAGCATCGGGGCAACGGGTGGGGTCACCAGGGTCCCTCAGCCAATCGGAGGCATGGGGGGAGGTGCTTTGCTCTGCTTGCAAAATAGCTGCCAGGCCCCATATTCTTCTGCCTGTGAAATCAGGGGCAGCTCCCTTGAATTTGGTAGGTCCCTACCTATAGGACTGCAGCAGGCCTGCTATACTAAATCTGCCTTGATTGGCAATACTGAGCATGAAAGTGTTGGTGCTTCTATACCAATATAGACCAAATATCCTCTTGGAGGAAAGGCTTCCTGATTTTTAACTTGTGGGATGTAGATAAATGTATTGAATTTAGAATTTGATGGTGGGGAGGACCCCTAAATTTCCTATATGTATATCCTGTTTTCTCTTGTTTTTATATGTGGCCTAACTTTGAAATTTTTTTTCTCTCCCCTCCCCAGTCTCTCTGGAGAAAAGCAAACCCTAAAATGGCAGGCCAAGGAAGTAATACAGACTGCATGTCATGTAGTGTACTGAGCTGGGAGCAGGTCAGCCGTTTGCATGAGGTCCTGACAGAAGTTGTTCCAATCCATGGCCGGGGCAGCTTCCCAACCCTGAAGATAACCCTGAAGGACATTGTTCAGACTGTCCGCAATAGTCTGGTTAAGATTGGCATCCAAGTGCATGATGTCCGACTGAATGGTTCTGCAGCTGGCCATGTTCTGGTCAAGGATAATGGGCTAGGTTGCAAGGACCTGGACCTTATTTTTCAAGCCTCTCTTCCAAGTGAGGCTGAATTTCAGCTAGTCAGAGATGTTGTCTTACGATCTCTCTTGAACTTCTTGCCAGAAGGTGTGAGCAAGCTCAAGATCAGTCCAGTGACTCTGAAAGAAGCCTACATCCAGAAACTGGTAAAAGTGTGTACAGAGTCTGATCGTTGGAGCCTAATATCACTTTCTAACAGACATGGCAGGAATGTGGAACTGAAGTTTGTTGACTGCATACGTCGACAGTTTGAGTTCAGCGTGGATTCTTTCCAAATCATATTGGACTCCTTGCTTTTTTACTATGACTATTCTGAAAATCCCATGTCGGAAGGCTTCCACCCAACTGTGATTGGGGAAAGCATGTATGGCGACTTTGAGGCAGCCTTTGATCACCTCCAGAACAAACTGATTGCTACTAAGAATCCAGAGGAGATCCGAGGTGGTGGACTCCTGAAGTATAGCAATCTCCTGGTGAGAGACTTCAGGCCCATGGACCAGGAGGAGATCAAAATGCTAGAGCGCTACATGTGTTCACGCTTCTTCATAGACTTTCCAGACATCCTGGACCAGCAGCGCAAGTTAGAGACGTATCTTCAGAACCATTTTTCCAAAGAAGAGAGGAGCAAATATGACTACCTCATGACCCTGCGGCAGGTGGTGAATGAGAGCACTGTATGCCTCATGGGGCATGAGCGAAGGCAGACTCTGAACCTGATCTCTCTGCTGGCACTCAAAGTACTGGCAGAACAGAACATCATTCCTAGTGCCACTAACATTACCTGTTACTACCAACCAGCACCTTATGTCAGTAATGCAAACTTCAGTAACTACCATATTGCAAACTCTCCCATTTCCTATAGTCAGTCTTACCCTACTTGGCTGCCTTGTAACTGATTTCTAACTCAAGTATCTCTTAATGGAAATTTCTGAAAGGCAAGAAATTATATGGGTGGTGGGAACTACCAATTGGTTAGGGGGCTATCTGTTGGGAATATGTGGTTTGATTTCTTATTTCCTTGAAGGCAGCATGACACTCCTACCAAACAGTTTTGCAAAGTTTTTTAGTACTCCCTGCGCAAATGCTGCAGAAAGTCTTACTGTCTCCTTCAATTGTGGGAGGGGCCTGTGCCCTCAAACTGGAAAATTTTAATTACTGGTTGTGAAAGCTATGGCAGACTTGTATCCCAGTGTTGTACATAGAAGACCAGGTAACAGCTGGCTAGTTATGGAGAGGAAACTTTAATAGAAGTATCTGAGCTTGGAACAGCAGCAGGGTCACTTGACTACTTGAGCCCCTTGCTTCATCAGGTCACAGCCCCTACTCCTTGCATCTAAATTCTTGTCATTTTTCCATACGACTGTACTTAGGTGAGCTGTCTTTTAGTAGTTTATGCAGTGCATGAACTGCATGTACGTTTTAGCCATATAGAACTAGTCTATGTATGGACATAACTTTCTTTCATTGAGGGCCTTGATCATGATTGGTTCCTGAAAACCATCGAGCAGTTTAGCTCATCTGGTGGAGCAACAGATTGCTTTCTTAAGTTAAGGTTAGACTAACAAATGTCCCTGAAGCTTGAGCTAGTTAGATACCAGTCTTGAGCGCGCACATTTGGAAGGTAGCTTCTTGCAGTCAAATGAAAAACACTCCTAGAACACACAGTGAACTGTACTCAAGACTGGAGTCCTTGGGGAAAACTTTTTTTAAAAAACAAAATGAAGTACTGAAATGGTTTAGGGCGATGTTTTTGTGGGGGGGGGTGTTGTGCTTTTTTTCCCTTGAGAAAGAATAATAAGATTAATTTTAGGACAGAGCTGTGCCATTCTCATCACAAGTCTCTTAAAAGGCACGTGGTGTTTACTTCCTCTCTAGTTAGAGGGTGAAAATTTCTGGGTTTGTCAGATTTGTTAGACTTCTGGGTATTGAGTCTTACAATCTTATCACATTTCAATGAATATTCACCACAGTGACTCTCTTACAAATGGCTGTACTCTTGCACAACTTCAAGAAGGATTTGAAGGTCCCCTTCATTTATCACTTAATCTCATGCTTGCTTTCTGTCTTAAACTGAAGCTTCTTTTTAACTTAATTGACAATAGCACTTGTACATATTCACAGCACAAGATGATGGGGGGGGTGTGTGTTGCTTTTTTGTTTTTGTTTCCCTCCCACCCCATGATGTATTCCATTTCTTTCTCTTTGCTGCTTCTTGAAAATAATTTAAGTGGTAGACACCTAAGATGGGGCTCACCACAAAGACAGAAACCTGCCTCCAGGCCCATTTCTCCAAAGAAGAGAGCTACAATATCTGAAGAGATAACAGTACATCATTTCATGAAGGCAAGGTTTACTTTTCAAGAGGAGACTGGTCCTTGATGAATTTCATGTGGTAAATACTAACTTGCTTTTTTCCTCTAACCTCCTGTACCTTGGTCAGGGCAACAACACCCTAATTATATAGGGGGCTGGATAGTGGGGTCTGAAGCTTACTGGTGCAGTGGCATATATGATCTATTTGTTAATTTAGTAAAACACAATAATTCAAATGGAGTTCAGTAGAGACTGGAAATATAGGGCCACCTCTTCAAAGGAAGGGTAAAATTTTAGCACTTATTGAAGTACTATCCAAAGCTATCTGCTAATCCTTCTGTAGTTTTATACAACTTTTCAGCTATCTAACTTGCAGTTAGAGCTGTGTCCTGCTCCTTTGAGCCTTGTGGTTTTCAATATTTGCTATTACAACAATGGATTTCAGGTTCCTTGCAGGGTACAGCAAAGATGA